CCACACGGCTCTCTGCAGCCACACAAGTAGCTGAAGGGAAGGCTCGGGCCTTGTCCACACAAACCAAGCGTCTACTGATTTGGATGCAGACCCTCTTGCCCTCTTCTGTCAGCATACGAGAACTGTTTTCCAATGTAGCTTCAACTTACTTGTAGCAGGGTGGTGACCCAGCTCCAGGCATCAAAAGGGTTAAAATAGCCCTGGGAGAGGGCTGTAGCTACGGGCCAATCAAGAGAAGCCTTGCGGCAGCCAATCACAACCCAGTGGGGCTGTATAAAAAAGATGGCTGGCCAAGCAGAGCCCATTTCCCGGAAGGACCTTGCTGCCTGGGTGCCAGGGTGCTGTGGACAGAGCAGGGCTGGCGGGAGGCAGGGTGAGCCCGGGCACTCCAGGTCCACACCCCTTGCCAGTGCTTAGTGGCCATGTTAGGTTGCAGCTTGCCCTGGGGCAGGGGCTAGGTGACGTCTGGCAGTGGGTCGCTGAGGCAAGGTGGGTGGAGGGAATCGGGGGTTCCCTGGGAGGCTGGACCCCTGAGCGTAGAGGCCCCGTGGCAGGGCAGTACCAGAGGGGAGGGCTCTGTGGGTCCCACTGGAGGGGGCAGAACCATTAACACAAACAGGTAACAGCAGGTGAGGCACTGGCTGGAAGGGGGCGCTCCAGGGCTGAAGCGAGCTAATTCCCAAGGGCCCAGCAGGAGGCGCCGTGGCGGTGTCACACGGTGTTACTTGTGCTAGCTAAGCTGAGCTAAGCCTCGTTCAGACCAGGGGGCATCACCCGCCTTTACACCACGGAGTGCGCTGGCACTTCAATTGACTAGGGCCTACGCTTGCACAAGCCGCAGCTCACCTCGGGGCAAGTGAAACCAGAGGGGACGTGGCTCCTCCCCCGCAGGGAGGTGAGGGGAGAGAGTGTGAATGGGAAATTACCTATGGAATGGGGGAACCGCTCCATGTCTGTTGAAACCTCCTTTCTGTCGGGGTGTCAGACTTGCATCCGAATTCCAGCTCGGCAGGTTTGCCTTGCAGTTTGGTTTTGATCACCGCTCTTGTTATAGCGCAGCACTTCTAATTACACAGGCGTAGCTCTGGCCTGGTCCGCACCACCGTGGGCGGTTGAGCTGAGTTACACAACAGCTACAGATCTGCACGGAGATAAGCCAGCGAAGGCGCCGCCCCAAGGATGCTCCGTATGCGCCGCGTTCGGTGGAATGCGTGCTGGAGCCGGCAGGAGCGTGCGCAGCGGCCGAACGTGGGGAATCGGCCCCTCTGGGTCGCCGCCCAGCGGTCTGCGGGACTTGGACAAGCCCTGCCCTAGGCCTGCTCCCAAGGGTCAGGCGTTCAGAGGCCCGCAGTGAGCTGCGAAGGCCCAAGTCCCTCGTGCCGTGAGTCCCCGGGTGATGTGGATGGGGAGTGGAGTCCTGGCCCACCGGAGCATTTTGTGCTCACTCAGCTCCGGCGGGAAGAACCGAGGAGGGGCAGAGCAAAGGCTGGCCTGGTCTACAGGGCCCTGAAACCGCTGCCACAGATCCTGGGCTTTAGTGGGGCCAGCCACTCTCCACGAGGCGCTGTGTGGCTGACTTCAGCATCCGCTTTCTCTGGCAGCAGAGTCAGTGGGAACGTTAACCCCCGGGGGCCTCCTGTCATGCCCTAGTGCCCCTCCAGCTGGGTGCACAGGCCAGCAGAGCAGGCGTGCAGCGGCGCTGCGCTCCTTCCTCCCGGGCAGCCTTCTGCTACGGCTTCAGTTCCCACCCCAGCCTCCCTCCCGGCCCGCCGGCTCCTCCAGAGCAGCCGCGTCCGCGCACCTCTCAGTTCCCCATCCCTTCCCTCACCAAGGGACGGCAGGGACCCGCCCCCCAGCCAGGGCACGGCCAAGAGGCAACGGCTGGGTCTGGGGAAAGGCTTGGGACACTTTGCGGAGGGCTCAGTTCAGCAGCGTCTCTGACTCCCGACGAGCTTTTAAGGCCTCTTGCTCCCATTGATTTCAATGGCAAAATGCTCATTGACTTCAGTGGAACT